CTTCCTCGGCAGGATTGTCAAAGCTGTGGTTTTCCAGGGGGCTCGAGTGACTAAAGATGAGAAAGACTGATGAGGGTGACCCTTAAAAATAACTAAACTGGGAAGGAATTGTCTTTAAATCGCACTGCACAGGAAATGGCAACTTCTGGAGGTTATTTAATAAACACACCACCACAGTGTGTAAAATGCCGCCCTTCCACCCCAGACACATTCCCAGGGCGATGCCCGTCTGTAGCGAAGGAGAGGAGGGCTTTGGGAGTGGGGCTGCAGGAGCCCAGAACCAGCCTCCCTGTCCCCAGGGCTGTGCCTCTGCTCCTGGAGTGTCTTGTCACCTCGAATGGGACAGCTCCTGTCGCTCTTGCCATTGGAACTAGATGATCTTTAAGGTCCCTTCCAACCCTAACCATTCTATGATTCTATGATTCTATTCCCATCTCGGAAACCGCAGGCGTGTGCTCCCTGCCTCAGCAGGGTAAAGCAGAGTCATAAAGACTTCAGACTAATAAACGTTGCCCTTTAGGGTGCATTCAGCTTTTACCAGCCTAATAAAATTTTTGACTCACGTCGACAGGGAAAGCAGGTAAACAGAGCTTTTATGGACCTTGAGGTTTGCCGAGGGGCCCGGGCTCTGGCACCTTGCTGTAATGAAAAGCACACGCAGCTTCAGGGCGAGCCACGTCGGGAGAGCGTTTCTGTGGGTTGTGGCATATATGGGCTCAGGTATTTCTCCAATACAAAACTCTCAGCAGGTACACGAGGACAGGGAGGGTTACGTAGCTGGAGCCTCATTGTCTTGTCTTCCCTCTGCCTGAAGGTGAAGCAAATGGGGGTCTTTCCTTCCTCCCAGTGGGTTGTGGTCAAGCCCATCACCCCCATCACCCCTAACCGTGCACATGTCCCCTCTGGTGAGCAGCACCAGCCGCTCTTCTTCCGAGACCTTTGGTTTTAGTTGGGAATTGGGGATTTTTATCACTGGCTTTTCAGGGCTGATTATCAGGAGAGATGAAACAGCTTGTTCTTGGGTGTAACATTTCAACAAGGGAGAAGTGAGTGGTTCTCTAGAAACAGGCAAAACCTTCATCATTTTCTAGAAATTATTATTTATTTAAAATTTAAAACCATATTACTTCATACAGCAAACTGTGCACTTTGATATATCACAGTGTCTTAAAAAGGAAAATAATCAGAATTTTTTCTTTTTTTTCTTTTTTTGGAAATTTTATTTACATCAGCCTCGAATGATCAGCAAGTAACACAGTTACTATGAAACCAAAATTGTTACAAAATGTTTACAAAAAACTATATTCATAGAAATTCTGCGTGTCCACAAAGGAAACTCCCCTGAATGTCACGGAGACTTTTTTCCTTTTTTTTTCCCACTCTTTTATGTTTTTTTTTCTTTTTTATGTCTTTTTTTGAGAAACATGTCAAAGTAAGGTACAGGCTGCAGAGGGCTTGCGATGCCAATGCCCGGGAGCGCTCCTGCCCGGCCAGGCCCGAGCACCTCCGGTGATGCCGGCGCAGGGACGTCCCGTCGCACCCCACGGTGGGTGCTGCGGCTCGGGGGCTCAGCACAGTCAGCTGCGCGCGGCTCGGAGTGGTGGGTGCTGGGTGACCACTCCAGTGCTGCCACCAGCTGCCAGGGTCTGTGGGGTCCCTTCCCAGAGACCCGCCATGCTGGCACCCGGCTGAATCCTGCTCCGCAGAGCACCCAGCGAGGGGAGAGTGGTGGGTGTCCAGAGCTGGAGCTGCTGCCCCGTTGCATATTATGTCTCTCTGTGGGTCTGTCGTGGTGACATCATACCCAACACGCGCTGTTGGTCACTCCAGACAGAAAAGCAACCCCGAACAAAGGTACTCGCTGTGCCCCTGCGCTGCCTCACAGGAGAGCCAGGAGGAAAAGCAAGTGATAAAGGGACAGTGAACTGAGGTGACAACAGTTTAGATACAGTTTAATAGCCCAAACCTGGTTTTTCTTTATTTCCTCCTCACTTTTTCAGTCCCTCTGCCCACCAGGCGAAGAAAGTTAAACGAAGTTGGAAGTCAGATGATTTCTAAGCCGTGAGTCATCGACAGTCACAAGCAGGTCACACAGTAGCTTGCCGAAGGCTTTGCTGCCAGCTCTGCCCCGTCCAAAACCTCCCAACACATCGCTGCTACGCGTCAGACTCGTTTCTCCTCCTCTGCAGTTAAACACCGCGTAGCTCCCGGGCTCCCGCGCTCCCCGGGACGAAGGCAAGGAGCGCACAGGGTAAATGAGAGCAACGGGAGAGACTCCAGGCTCTGCTAAGCCGTGTAGGAATCAGGTGAAATAGAACTGGTTCTGGGTGCTGGGAGGCTGAGGTCTGAGCACCTCACCTCTCCTCGGTCGCAGGGAGAGGAGCTGTGGGTCCCAGGCAGCCCCTGATCTGAGCGGTGCTGGGCGTTCCCTTCTTAAAAGTGTCCAACGGTTTCATGAGCCGATGTCAGCAGAAAACCGTAGCAGCGATGCCTGCAGTTAGCTGCAGTTTCATGGCTGATTTATGGCCGGGGTGGAGAGGGAAGGGAAAAGGTTAACCTGCAGGGTTTGGTCTTGCTGGCGGATAGCACCACGAATTCCAAATGCTCCCCTGTCACTCTGGGACGTGTGTGAGAAAAATCAAATCAAACTGGCATCAAAGATGAATAAATGGGGTTTATGGTGTGAGTAACGTTTATTTATTTTAAAGAAGATCTGCCAAGAAACAAAATGAAGGTGATTTTCTCTGGAATTTTACTCTCTGGACATTTAAAGCCAGTTTCAGGCTTTGTTTTTCTATCTGCCTTAATTGTAAAAATCTCTTTCTCAGAGCTTACAATTCTGCAAGGAAAACATAAAATCTACTAGTCTGACAAGCCTAGGGCTTTGCACAGAAATCCAGAAGGTCATTAGCTTTGGGAAGCAGACCCACACTTCAGTCTGTCCTCCGCTGTAGGCATTTGGTCAGCAAACTACTAATAATATGATGCCTGTTGAGCTGGCAGCTTCGCCCCTAATTTTTCATGGTTTCTATGAAAAGGTGAAAATTAAGGTAAATTCTTTGCATATCTTTACTTGAGTCAAAATATGTCAAATTGCCTTTTTGTTTGCTTGTTTTTGGGTCTCTGTGCTGCTTCTTTTACGTCAAGGAAAAAACAAAATAAGGACAAATTATGTTCTGTGATGGTAGGGGGGGACTATTTCCCCTTGAGCTAATTTGCTAATGCTGATCAGCTCCAAGGATAACCTTCCTAACTGAGCCTCGCAAAGAAACAGGTGGGAAAATAAACCTGAAATCAGCTACAAACAGGTTTGTTCCTTTGGGCGAGGATAAACTTTCCAGAAGGGCCCTGCAGCTCGGGAGGGCAAACCGGGTCAGCTCAGCTCTGGTTCCTGTGGTGGCCGTGGCACCGCGCTACGCTCATGATGCAGAGGGCGATGTTTGGGGATGCAGAACTCGGGCACTGGCCGCTCCATCGCCGCACTGCCCTGCCTGCCCCCCAGAGCAGGACTTGGCGTGGGTGCGGGAGGGGTTTCCAGCAGCAGCGTGGCCTGTGGCTCTCACCGCCCCCCTTACAGGTGTGGGGAAGGAGGCTGCTCATTTCCTCAACACCAGGGTTTAAATTGGAGCTTGTAAGCACCTTTGCAATACCCCCCGTGGGATGTTCTGGGCTACAACGGGCAGAGCCATGTCTCTGGTTTCACAGATTAATCCGCGGTGTCCCACTGGGCACCCATGCAGTTCCCGGGGAGGGATGGAGCTGGGTGACATTTTACTGTAGGTCAGCAGAGAGGGGTCTTTGGTAATTCTGACTAAATTCATCTGCAGGAGCAGCCTTCTGGGTTAAGCAGCCTGAAAATAAGAACACAGTTCATGGAAGATTTCTTAAAAACATTTTCATGTGTATTTGCTTAAATCAGACGGCGATGCTGCCCGAGGGGCTGCGCTTCACCGGGCAGAGCAAGAGGGGGGTGAGGCTGGGCTCACGCAGTGCAGCCCAGCCCTGGCCCTGCAGGCTGCGACTTTGCCTTTCGGGTCTCTGATGCCACGGAGGGCGTTTAGCCCTACACCAGACACACAGTCCTCTCCTGGTGTGAGTGTGAACGCAGCGGGGCCGCGGTTCGGCGCTGCTGAATTCATGGGAGTCGCACCATTCAGCTCTTGGAAGCAGCTCCAAAAAAAAACCCCCCCCCTGCCGCTGCTAAAGCCTGTGGGCTCGGCCATTCACGCTCCTCTTCGCAGGAGAGGCTGAGCTCTGCAGGAAGAGTGAAGGAGCTGAGGACCTGGAGATCACTGTGTCACCCGGGGCGTGGGCTGGAGTTTGGCTCGGGGCGTGTGGGTGGTGTCACTTGGGGATGGCAGCAGGTCCCGTGCACGCTGTGCTGGCTTCATCCCTGGCCAGGAGCTTGGCTCCATTCAGGCCCCTTCGCAGTGTGCTGTCTCGGATCTGCTGACGAAAGTGTGTCCACACCCACGAACGCGTGGACCTCGGGTGGGCATGACCAGCACAGCCATGAGGTGAAGGGCCACAGTGAGCTGCTTGGAGAGAAGGAGCAGCCTTGACCATCACGGTGCTTCACAGATCCCTTTCCCGGCCAACATATCCGAGGTGTGCTGTGCACCAGCGAGGGATGGATGCTCGTGCAGGCGGCTGCTCACGCCGTGCCTGACTGTTTCTTTTTATTGCCATGCTACAGAAGCCTTGCTCAGGGGCTCCTCCGGACCCGCCGAGCGTCAGTTTGGCTCAATTCTTATTTCGCCTCCATGTGGTTTTAGTATGTAAACATCAGACTCCGGGATGGTGGTGTGTTTGGACTCCATGAGGCTTGGTAGGATCTAAGCGTTAAAAAAAAAAGAAATGGAACGAAAAATAACAAAAACAAAACAGAAAAGCCCCAAGACCCATGTTACAGTCCGTGCTTCGAAGTTCTTAATTCTGTGCCGGTGATCGATGCAGCTCTGTTGTAAAGGCCTTGTTCTTGAAATGAACCAAACCCAGGCGCTTTTTTTTTTCTGTTTTTTTCTTGTTTTTTAATCCTTTCTTCCTAGTTAAGACTGTATCCAGCCTCGTCTGCTGCAATTCCTTCCCTCCCGTTCCCCCATTCCCGTGCCCTAGGGAAACACAGGCGTCAATCCCGTGTTGCAGGTCATGTTGTCCTTCCCTGGCAGCCGTCGGTCGTTGAACGTGTGCATGTTGATCACGGCGTCCGTCTTCACCATGACGGGTGGCTGGGGCTTGTGTTTGACCCGTCGCTGGCAGGTGAGCGACAGCCGGATCTCGTCGGCCATGGCGCTGCAGAAGGAGCGCTGGGGAGAGCAGGGACAAAAAGCACCGTTACTCCCGGCAAAACATTCTGCTAACCTCTCCGTGAGCAGGAGGAGGATGAAACTAGGCTCTGCAGAGGGCAAGCAAAGTTTTAGGCTGCGTTGAAGGCATCAGCTGTGCTTAGTGGCACTTCGGTGATGCACGGGTGTCTGATTAACGAGAATTGTAGCTGTGACACGCTAAATCCTGCAAAAAGGCAGAGCTATAGGCGGCCCTTGGAGTGCCGGTGCTTTGTGTGATCCCTGCTGGGGGTCTGGTGGATTTATGTGCTGGGAATCAGAGGGCTATCGAATCCTGCTGGGCTTGCTAGTGGGCAGCTTTCCTTTATCTATCTAGTCCATCACATGGGCAGCTCGCTTTGATTTCTGGTCATGCACGCAAACGCGCTTTCCACTTCCTGCACCACGACACGCAAAGAAGAGGGAACACCATCAAAGCAGTCCTTGTGTTCTGCGAGCACTGGTCAGCCAGTGCGGGTGAGACAGGCCGTTTGGGCAGGTGTTGTGAGAGGTTGGTAAGATAGTATGAGAGTTTCTGGCAGACCCTGACAGGTTCCTTGTGGCTCTTTGAACAGGAGCGTGGAGAAGAGATGGAGGCTTCATGTGTGTATACATTATGCCCGGAATATGGAACAGGATTGCATGTGATGGTGGCGAGTGGCTGTAACAGCTCAGAGAGGTCCCTCCCAGGGACCTCCATCCGGATTTTCATGACTTACTAGTTGGCTTGCACAAAATAACCCTACAGATGTTTACTAGTCTAGTCACTGCAGCAGCAGATAACCCTCATCAGAGCAGACATGATTTGCCCCCTGACCTGAGGCTGCTGGAGTGGAACAGAAGCAATGAGCCTTAGGGAATGGCATTTCGAGGCTGCTGCATTTCAGCCCTTGGGCTGTGGGCTCTTGGACCTCCAGGCAGCAGGGACAGGGCTGTATCCCTCTGCCCATCTCCCTGCCTGTCTCTGGGGTCTGTGTTCAACATCCTTAACGACTGGGCTAGTGCCGGTGCAGGGAGACCGAGGAGATCAGTACCTGCTCACGCTCTGCCGTTTTGCGCAGCTTGTAGATGAACTCCACCATGGCCACGAAGACGGAGAGCACCAAGCCTGCTGCCAAGACAATGAAGATCCCACCGATGTTTTGGATGCCCAGAGCACTGGCTTCCTTGTTCTCATCCTCAGGGCAGCCATTCCCTCGCCACCACTTCTCCTTCATTACATGGAGCTTGTCCTCCTCCTGGAGCTGGAGGATGGCAATGGTGATCTTGTCCCTGTACGGCGACCCTGGGGACGGGGAACACCGTTACATATGGAGGGGAAGTGGGATGAGAATCGCGCAAAGCAGGGGATGTCTGCGCACAGCGGGGGTGTTCACACTGCTCCTCAGCGGGCAGACAGCGTGAGCTTTGGTGGTTGGAGATTTGCTGTTGGTACTGGACTGTCTGAATCCCATCCCTTGTATTTGTGGTAAGTAGCCCCCCCTCCAGGGCTACCTACAGAAACCCCACTGTGGCCACTTACCCATGGGAGTCCCGATCCCGTAGCCTTTGGAATCGATGAGCCCCCCGATCTGCGTGAGGTTGCAGTTCCTCTGGGTGATGTACTCGATGGTGGTTGACTCCATCAGCAGGGCGTAATCGGCCGTGAGCGTTCGCTGGATTCCTTCCTCGTTGTTTTTAACAAGTGCGGTGGGCTTGCTGCTCATGAAAGCCCACATTTTTTCAAATGTGGAAATTTTGGATTTCTGGGGGGAAAAAAAACAGAACCCCAAAATAAGAATTAGTCTATTTGCTGAAACCTCACCTCTTTACAGTAAATGGTAGTACCAGTTTGACAACAGATCAGGTAATGGAGCTATAACCAATTTGTGCCGTAAATACCCCCCAACGCCCCCTGCCCAGCATCGTTTGGCTTCACATTGCCCTGAGAAGAGGCAAAGGCTCCAGCATGGTGGTGCGGGTGCTCGGCAGAAAGCGGCGCTGCTCTGGAGACCCGATCCTGTCTGTGGGGCTGGACGGTGCATCTGCCTGGGGAAGGTACAGCCAGACCCTGCCCTGCAGGCCTCGTAGTGTGACAGGCCCTCGATATCTGTTTAAAAGCATTAGTTTCCTAACCAGAATTTTGCTTATCCCGTAATGTTTCTGCACAATGAAAGAAGACAGAACATTTCAGGGGGCATGTTTTTCTCTTTTGCACACACACTATTATATTTTTGTCTTTCCTCAAGCATCGCAAGGAAACATGTCTCCTCTGAGATATGTGCAACTGCCAAACAAATTTAACGTATCCACATAAACAGAGGCATAGAAATATTCAGGAAGATTGTCTTCTGGCTAAAAATAAACATGGATATTCTTCCACTACCAGCAGGCATTCTGTTAAAAAAGGAGGAATATGTTTTCTAGCTTACTACTCATGTGAATTTTTGTTCTTCTTCCGGAAAATGTGTTGGGTGAGAAGAAATGTGGTTATTTTATGCCTTTCCATAACAGTTGAAATATGCCATTTATCTCTGACCACCTTCTCAATTGTCCCTGAGTAGGGTGGCAGAAAAGACATAACGGGCTTGGGTCTGGAAAGACTCCCCAGGGGAGCACATGGGCTTGCTCACCCCTTGGCTGGTCACCGTGCTGCTGTGGGTGAACGTAACCCATCAAACCAGCTCTATCCATCCGGCTGAGCTGTGGAAAAACACTTGGAAATTGAGGCTTGTGTTCATGCTGCTCCTGGTCCTTTATGTGCCATTCTTCTTTTCTCCCTAATTTCTTGTTTTTCTTAGGTCTCTTATTTTCTAAGAGGCAGCTTAGTCAGCCAAAACCTCCGCCTCCACAACACTACTTAGCAAGAGCCTGAAGCTGGCTGATAAGTTGGAGGGGCTGATAAGTCTTTGCGCTTTGCCTGGAGTAAGGGTTTGCTCACCTGCAGCTACTGAAGTCGCTGCAGCAGAACTGCTCTTGCTGGTTTAGCTGTCCTTTATCTCCCTTTCCGGCCTCTGTCCTTCCATAAGAAAGCAGGAGATGGAGCCCCAGCTCATCCCAACCCAACTGCTGCTATCACATCTACCCCTCATTTTTCAGTATCGCCCCAAACATGCCAGCATAGGTTCTTCTCATAAAACCACTATGAATAAGGGCAGATTAGCTAGAAAAAACGTCCCCTGTAATGCTTTGTATTTCGGAAACTTTGCCTGTCCGCCTCCTTTTTCAGCACATTTAACAGCAGTTGGCACGCGGCTTAACACCCCAAAGCTGGTTAGTGTAGCCAGTGACAAAGGCTGTTCCTCTGTCTTTAACCCTGACTGAAATAACCATGGACTCATTTCTTCTCACTTAAAGCTCAAGCTTGTTATAATCCGCTTGATGAACGTGCAGTAGTGGATGTGCCGGAGCAAACTTCATTCAAGAGGCAGGATAATCTCCCTCACTTGAAAATCTGGGCCAGTGCCTGTAAGGTAGATTTGTGGCATCTATCAAACCTCAAAGAGCAGCAAGGAATGTAGCCTCCAAAAGGATTATTAAATATCTGTGCATGACAATGGGTAATTGAAATGAATAGCATACTTGGCTGGCTGATAACGACTTGTTTAACATTTATATAGTTCACATCAGAGGCCTCTGGGTTCACTGGCTCTCCCTTTCTCTCCTCCTCTTCCCGCATTTAATGCTCCTTGGGTGTTGACACAGAGCTCTTAAACAACATCAGTGTTCTCCCAGTTTAAAGCATAGAGCAAAATAAACTGGCAAAAAATCAATAGGCTGCATTTAGTGAAACTAATAGGACTTGCATGAGGCATTGTAGCTCTTCAGGTAACTTAAATTACATGAGACAGGGCTCCCTGGAAGAGAAAAAACACTTTTCTCTTCTTAAATCACCGCTTCTGACCAGCTGAAAGGACTTAATTGTGTTTTCAAATGCCAGGAGGAGCCTGGCTTTTGCTGCTTTGAGCCTGCTCTGGGTGTCCTGGGTTGGGGCACGGGTCTGGGGACACCCGTGGCGGCGTGAGCACTCGGGCTGGAGCATCCCTGGGTGAGGGCTCGCCTCGAGGCCAGCGCTACCTGTCGCTGCTTGCTCACGCCTCAGGCACCAGCCGAAGCAGAGACCTGGCAACGCAGGGTGAGCCCCTCAGCAGAGAAGGGCTCTCTCCCCCAGTGACACACCGCTGGGTGCAGTGGCCTCATCCTCCCCAAAGATAATGCTGTGCTTGCTCCCTCAGGGAGGGCAGGTCAAGCCCGCGGTGCAGGCAGGGCAGATGGACACCTGTCTGGTCAAGGCAGTCTCCGGCTCTCCCCGTAGTCTAAAACCGACTGCCTCCTCACGGGGAATTTATTTCCTATTAGTTTCTTTAACGTAGCTAAGATGTGATAAGAACACTCCTTTTCCAAGTGAAAATTCCCCAGCTGTAATTCTCAGCACAGCGCTGGCAGTTTGATAGACCTGGCTACTTCTGAAAAAGTCCAATTTGGAAGCAGTTGTCAGTCATGGTGAGAGCGGTCATCAATCAGGACCTGCAAGAGCCACTGTGGTGGGCAGCGTACCGCGCTCCGGAGAGCTCCGACCACTGTTTTCCGAGTGGGGCAAAATTGTTCCTTCCTCCCTTTCCTCTTGGAATACTTCGTACTGCAGAGGTGGGTCGCCTGCTTATGGAAATCTGGGTGGTGTCACCTGAGCTAGACCATTCAAGTAAGCAAAACCATCTCAGCAGTAATTTAACAGTCTGCAAAGGATGCACGGAATTGTGTTGGTTTTGCTGCTGGACTTCTTGTGTGTGAGTATATTTTGTTTTGCTGGACACCTGGTTTTACAGCTTCAGTAATTTGCTTTTAAAATTCTTACTGGTTTGAACTGATGTTTGCTGTGGCCGGGTGCAGATTTCTTCTCTGTGGAATCAGCTTGGTGGGCTGCACAACAGCGGTGTGAGCCGGTGGCAGGCAGACACCCTCTGGTGCCCCTGCCTCCTCCCCAGGCCCCCCTGAGGACAGCTTCGCTTTGCTGCCAAATGCAGATGAAGAGGAACTGCTTGGTTGCTCTGAAGCATTAAGATAAATGGCCTGACACTGACTGCTTCCTGGCAGAGGAATTCCAGAGTCAGGAACTCCTGAACATTCGGAATGATGGAGATCATTGCTAATAAGCAAAGGCGGTAGTTTAGCGCTGACGTTCACGCAGCCATGGTTCATCAGAGAGATCGTGTCTCTCTCCTGCTTACATTTTCCCACCGATTCATGCGAGTGGAGCTTCTCCTTGTTTTGGTCAGGATAAAAACCATCGGAATCTGGCCCGCTGTCCTCCGCATCCTAATAAACCCTGCGTTAGTGCTAAGTGAGATGCACGTATGAAAAGCTGAGTGCCAGCCCCTCTGAATGCAGCCATTGCAGCGACACCGAGGACGCCTCTAAACTCATTCTTTAGAGTCACAGCTCAGAAGCTGCCTTTAATAACCAGCACTTCAGGACCAGTCACCCAAATAAATTAATGGAATAGTTTAGAGGAGCCACCACAAGGCATCTTGCCAAGACACATACGCTTTTTTATCAGTGGAATTGGCACGAGAGGAACTTTCAGGCTTAAGATTTTCAATTCCAGCCTGTATGAAAAAAAATAAATTGATTTTCACCAACTGAAGATACTTACTCTTGAGGATTTAACATTTCTGTACAAGGGAATGTCTCTGTACACACATCCACACACTCACACTTGTACTCCAAACCGCACATGACACCCAGCATTCGTTCAGAGGGAGACAGCATCCTTTGCAGGATAGGAGGGCTTTCTGGCATGATTTACAGTGAACGCTAGATGCTGTTCCTAAATTAATGGATCTGTGTTTATTCCTGTAACTCGATCTGCATTGCTGGGGAATAAATAGCTTCTCAAAAGTTCATTTCACCAAGTCGAAATCTGCCAGTGTGGTTGGTAAAACTTTTCTTCTGCTCCCTTTTGCTGTAGCTGGTTAGCCCAGATAAAACCTTTGTGGGAGCAAGACGCCTCGCAGTGGGTCTGCCCCAGAGATGTGTTTTGGCTTGGGTCAGGCTCTGCATGAACCCTTGGGCAGCCTGACCTCAGGCATAAAAACGGGTCAGTGCTTCGCAAACCGTCTCAGGGAACAGGGTGCAAGGTGTTTGTCTTCCTCTTCCTCCCATTCCCCATTGCTCCCAACGATCAGCTCCCAGGATGGTGCTCTCCGTGAGTGGTCAGACCCTGGTGAGATCCAGCGCAGGATGGTGACCAGCCAGTCACGGGCGGTCAGTGGATGTGGTCTGCAGCTGCTTTAACGCAGAGTAGCCATTTGGGCTAAATCCTAGTGGGTAATCCACAAAATTACGTGCACTGGGCAATCCCAGTCAGGATTTTGTCCCAGCGATGACGGTCTGTCCAACAAACTCCAGGAGCGCTTGGCCATCGCGTCTCCAGTCGCACAGCAGCTGCCGCCCTTCGCAGCAGAGCAGAGGAAGGTGACGTGAAGCCTCGTGCACTTGGCCTTTCCCATCCTCAGGGAGTGCAGATGCTCCGCAGACACCGGAGGTACCCGTTCCTCCATCCCCCATTCCTCTGTGCTGCTTGACGGGTGCCCCGTGACAGTGGGGCGCGGGATTCCCCAGCCATTTGAGAAGGACCTCGCTGAGGGGTGGGAGAAGTTCTGGCTCTCCCGTGTTTCTCCATACGCAAAGGACAAGTGAACGTAGCATCCCACGCATGCGCTTGCTGCTCCACTAACCGAAACGCTTGTCAGAAGGGACATCCCATAGTACTCATCTCCAAACAACAGTAATAATAAAAAAGAAAAAGGAAAACACTGCGCATCAATAAATCCTGCCAAATGCCCTGTTAGAAACCTGATGGATAATGATGGATAATGATATGAAACAATAAATATACTGTGCCCTTGATGATTTTTATAAAAGACAGTTTCCTTTTATTCCCATATAAAACTCGTTTTGGAAGGAGTAGTTAAAACACAGCAGTGAAAGCCTGTCTTTCCCTGATAGCTCTTCCAGCGTTATATGGCTTTTGGAAGGTGACATGATGCATCTCACCACGCCAAAGACAAACCTGCATGCACCAGCTCCACTGCAGAAAGCAAACTAACCAGAAGCAACCTGCTGCTCTGTGCAACGTTCTCATTTCCCAGAATTAATTAAAGATCAAACCGTATCTTCCATGTTTCTCTACCAATCCGTGTTACTGCCTGTCAAAGTGACATCGAGATTGGGAAAGCGTAGTGGCTCCTGAGCCAAGTCATAGCCAAGAGAAGCTGTGGAAGAATGCTGCTGTTTCTTGCTATTAAAATTCAGCACTCTGGCTTCCTTTAATGAGTCTTGGCAATTAAACTGCTGACGGCCTGGTCTAGCTGTCCCTACGCTGTGCCTGTGCGAACGGCTGTGGCGTGCCAGGCGCTGCCTGCGGATGAAGCACAAGCTGCGGTTGTCCCACTTTGTCCCGTGTGCTTCCTTCTGAACTGGGATAAGAGGAAGGAAGGAATATTGCCCAGCAGGAGGCAGCCGAAGGCTCTGGTCTGCGGGAGCTCCGCGAGCCTCGCCAAGGAGAGCAGCATCGACGTTGGCTGGACGCATGGGCAGTGCTGGGCCCTGGGCAGTGCAGCAGGCACCTTCCAGGTGCTCCAAACCATCCCTGAAGGATGACTTTTTGAGTTCATCCTTGAATTTAAGTTCCCCTCCAAGCCAGGGACATCGTTCCTTAAACTAATCGCCCCTCATTTCCATTTCTTTATTCTCTCACTTTTTTTTTTTTTAAAGTGTGTATGTACAGACTAGTTGTGGTTTTAAAGTTAAGGTCTTGTTAAGCCTCTCGGCTTCTTTCCATTTTAGAGGGAATAGTGAAATATCATAGAGTTACAGCACAGTTGTGTTGGAAGGGACCTTAAGGCCCACCCAGTCCCACCCCCTGCCATGGGCAGGGACACCTTCCACTAAGACCAGGGTGCTACGAGCCTCATCCAGCCTGGCATTGGACACTCCCAGGGATGGGGCATCCACAGCTGCTCTGGGCAACCTGTCCCAGCGCCTCCCCACCCCCTGCAGGAAGAATTCCTTCCTGATGTCCCATCTCAATCTCCCTCTTTCCGTTTAACTCCTTCTCCAGGCTGAACACCCCCAACTCTCCCAGCCTGTCCCCATGGCAGAGGGGCTCCAGCCCTCGGAGCATCTCCGTGGCCTCCTCTGGACTCACTGAAGCCTTCAAAATACGAGTGCTCTTAGCACCCTCCTCTGTGGTGGCTGACTTCTGAAAGTAATTATGCTTTAAAGAGAAGAAATTAATGAGATCTGAATCTGAGGCATTGGTGGTGTTACCTTGCACTGGGTTTCAGAGGTTAATAAGAATTAACTACATTAATGTAACTACATGTAATGTAAGCTGAAAGGCGCAGGAGGTATTTCAGCTGTAAAAATACTGGTCAGGGAGGGCACTTTGCAACATCTATCCAGCTTTAGGTTTCGTTTGCTCGCTTCTCTGTCCCTGAGGCTGGCAGGGTCAGCCTTGGGGGCTCTGCGGAGCTGTTCTTGCAGAGACCAGGAAGGGGCTGCAATGGGTGTGATGTGAGAACAGGGAAGATGATTCTTTAGGCCACGTAACATTTTCTGTAGGGTTTCAATATAAGATACACCTGTCCTGTTGTGCCTAACAAGTGCTTCGTTTTAGGGTGTCTGCGCCAAGGGTATGAGCTGTGAGCTGTGAAATCAATATAATTTTGTAATTGTGACTTCAGTTAGCATCAGGGAGAGGGGGATTTGTCCAAAGTATGAATCAAGGTGAGCTAAACTGTCCACATCTAGGCAAGGAGCGAGACTGAACAACCTGCTCATAAGGAGAAAGAGTGGTGGCGTAAGCGGATTTTGTCCTTGGTTCTTTGTCCTCGCTCCCGCTGCCTGGGCGGCAGATAGCCTTTGCCTGGTCTCACCTTGAAGAAGGTCATAGTAGCTCCATCCTTCACTGCCCCGTACTCTATTTTTGTCTGCTTTGCCAGGTCATCTGCCGAGTCGATGGGAGATTCCATCCTCTCCACCGTCAGGAAGGCAGCGAGGTTGGCCGTGTAGGACGAGATGATAATTAGGGTGAAGAACCACCATATGCCACCAATGATCCGTGTAGACAGTGCTTTGGGCATCAGCTCAGAGCCTGGGGTGGGAGAGGGAAGGAGAAGGAAGGAAGAGGAAACAGAGAGAAAGGACCTGTTTCTATATATACACGTACATTATATACACTCATATATATATATATAAAGGCTCATGTTTCACTCTCTAAACTGTAGCATCTATGCAATTAAAGCCAACTGCTTTTGAGGCAAATTATCCAGACATCTTGCACACAAGGAAATCAGTGGGGTTTTTTGTAGCACTTGCAGAAAAACCCTCTCCCTTTATTGCTGACCTTGGGTACAGTGCACAATTTACAGGAAACGTTCAAACTGAAGTAATTAACTGGGCTGCTTTTACGAGATTTAAATAGCAAGCCATTTATGAACTTTTATGAGTGTTTTGTTCTGCCATTTAAAAAGTGCTTTGCTTTTATATGGATTACTTTTCAAAGGATTCACTCTAGGGAGCGTGTTCAAATACACAAGGCTTAAAAAAAAAATCAAACGGAGAGAGAAAGGAACTATCAGGGTCCAGTACTTTGAATACTGGTCAGAAGTAGGGAAGCAGGAGCTGTTACGGCATGAAAGGTGTAACAGGTCTGGAATGGCTTTTATTGGGCAGACATGAAGGACTAAGTGGGTTGTGCTATTTTTGTAATCACCCAAGATACCAAGCCAGGAATGAGCTTTGGGTTTGAAACAACTGCCTTCAGAGGATATATCCAACCTGGCATTTGCAACAAAGATTGGACTTTGCCAAGCAGTTTTAGGCAGTGTGACATCAAAGCACACACGGGGCGTTGCTTTTCTCCTATCTGAGTGCTGCAAGGAGGCACCAGGAAGCAGAGGAGCCTTGGATATCAAGGGTCGCTTCAGTTCTTCTCAAGATCCTGCTTCTTTCCCATTCCATCTCTTGCCCTTTGATGCGCGGGACGCTGTGACATCAGCCTAGCTTTGAAATATATTTCTTCTTAGATGCAGAATAGAGTTAAAAAGAATACAGCTCTTCTCATTTATCAGCATCTGATAAGAGGCTGATTCATCCTGCTAAAGCGTCTTGCTGGGAACTGTCAGTGTCCATGAGGGCAGCAGAGATCTGGGAAGGAGCTGTGCTGCACGCGGCAGCAGGAGTGCGGAGCAGCAGCACTTTCCATGCCGCCACGCCGGTGCTGTGGTTCTTTTGCTCTCTGGGTGTAACTACTGATATATGGGAAATGAAAGTGTGACAAATGTTTGACGTCTTCCACTTATTTCTATTCCTGGATTTTCTGCAATTAGATCACAGCTGAATTTTGTCCTTACTCAGAGCTGCTCACAAGCTCCCCCTCTGCTGTCTTCCTAACAGATTTACTCTATTCATTCCATCTCTATATATTCCATTTGCTCTATTCCATCCACAGAGATGAATGCAATCCCATCCAGATCCCATTTCTGAGGTCCCTGTCATTGTGGTATTTTACACCAGTAACACTGAAGACGTTCAGTGGCTGCCAGCAGAGCTGCCTGGAGGAGCTCCTCGCTATCCTCTTTGCCCCAGCAGCCTGTGCCTGCGCTAGTGGGAATTTCAGGCCATTCCACAGTGTGCAGAATGACCAGATGAGGATGAAAATAGAGTCAGACCGGAGGGCAGGCTGCCCTGTCTTCTCTAAAAGTTGAATTAAAACAGAGGGAGCCAGGACAGAGATCCTGAAATTAAACAAATTGCTTGAATTAACAGAATCTGTGGGATGCTGCCGAGTGTGGAGAATTAGGCAACGGAGGGAGAGCGAAGGGGTGTTCCTCCTTGGGGCCCAGTGTGCTCCCTGGGCACAGAGGCAGCACGCGTGTGAGCCCACCACCGCTCCGTCATCCGGCTGTGCGCTTCCAGATGGCTGACTGGGATGTTGCTCCTGCTGGCACCTGCCCAGGCGTGCACACATCATCTGGAGCAATTCCGGCTGTGCAGTGGCACGTGTGTGCCGGCAGCCGGCCGCAGCTCATGGATCGAGCGAGGAGTCTGTCCCTGGAGTGGGGTGAGCTGATGGGACAGGGGCTTTAGCCCACAGAAGGCGGAATGTACAAGTAGGGGCAGGTCCCAAAAAAAAGGAAGACTGAAAAGCTCCAGCCTGCTCTGACTATGAAGAAATGGGATGGCTTTCTTGGAATAAAACCCCTGGACCTTTTCCTGGGGTGCCCCAGGTAGGGCTTGGTCCTGGCACACGTCCCTCTCCCTTTCTCCATCGCTGCTGCGCAGGAGAACTGGCACGGCTCGGTGCGTGTCTGCGTGGAGGGGAAGGTCAGAGCGAATGGTAACACACATGGTCACCAAGGGCTCCTGAGCTGCAGGTTGCAGCCGGTTCCCCCTGTGAGCTGGCAGCCCTGATAGCTCCCTGGGGAGCAGGTCCCTTGGGTGCTGCTGTGCACTGTGCACATCTTCATCAGGAGCAGCCGGAGCACCAGCAGCGGGTCCCGGGAGGTGCTGCAGGAGAGCTGCCTCCCCTCTCGCACACCTCGCTGCTTCCCAGCCGGCAGCTGGTGCCGACACGCGCTTCTGTGCCTGTTGGGGTGTTTTATCTTGCTCCTGTCGCAAGCAAAGTACATTTTAAATTTAAATATCCACGACAAAGGGTCTGTGGTGGAGAACCGGCCGTGGGGGGTGTGGGGGGAGGCAGTGCCCTACCTTGCTGCATCAGCGCTCCCATCCCAAACCAGAAGCTGTTCAATAGGGTGAAGTTATTCTCCACGATGTCTGATCCGGGGTTGCAGGGATGAGCATCGTACCACTCGTATGGGCTGAACCTACGGTGACACATAGAAAGCGAGAGCTTGTTAGTTGGGATGTAACATGACAAGATCCTAAAGGGAGAGGAAACAAAGAGCCTTAATTCATTTTGTGTTGCTGCCCACACCTGCTGACTCCTTTGGTTGTGGGGTTTATTAAAGCAAAAGACACTTCAGCCAAGACTTTCAGGAGTGACCAGCATGGCTCAGAGCCCCGTGTCCTGCTTTGCTGACAGCAAGGAAACCTGGGAAGCCAGGTCCTTCTGTGGTATCTCAGGCTGCTTCCCCAAAGCCTTCAGTCCTTTGGATCATCTCTGCAACGCTGCACCATGGGACAGCAACTGGAGCACGTGGCTATGGGATGGGATGTGGTGCAGACATGCAACCTTGAGCCCTGTATGGTACAGTTCTAAAACATGGGAAAAATGGCATTTCTCCATCAACTGAGGGGAGATGCTGCGGTGGTTCTGCAGCAGTAGCTGGGACAAACTGCAGTATTTCAGGGTACACCTCTGCTGGTGCACATGGGAGTTGGGGTGGGATTGAGCCAGGTGAGAAGCAGAACTTCCCACCGTCCCAACAAGCAGGAATCCTGCATGGTCAGGGCACCCTCCTGACCGTGGCAATTGGTGTTGGTTCAGCGTGGACTCCTGCGACCCTCGGCCTGTTGCAGGTGGTGGGAGAACACTCATGCCCCATGGGCACCTATTTCCATGGACACCCTGTAGTTCTTGGCAATCTTCTATGATCATCTCTCTGCAAATCCTGCCTGGCATTGGTAGACAAGCACTGCTGAGAACATAGCTCCTTCAGCCAGGAGCTGGGGAGGATGCTCAACAGGAGACACGCTAGTATTTTTAGAGCTGTTTGTTTACATTCTCTAAGAGTCCCAAATTTTGCTGAGATTAAATTAAAAACATAATTGGTATAATTGCTTTTGAACCAGGCATTAATTATCACCTCAGCTTCCCTCTGAAATCCCTGTAGCTTCACAGCAGCCCTTTCTCAAAGGCCAGCCCACAGTTCGTATGAGGAGCTGTTTCACTCTGTACTCCTCCGCCAGGCACGCAGGGACCCAAGGAGACGTCTCGTTGCTTAGTTTGAGAGAGCTGGATGTGTTTGGAGGAAAGGGCCACCGCTCTCGCCCAGGTGCCCCCCGGCACAACTCCCCAAGCCGACAGCTACCCCCGCCTCTGCTCTGCGCAGTTGTGCCCTGAGACCCCTCGGAGCCCAGTGTGGGGGTGTCCCGCAGCACGGGGCCGCGGTCCCCAGGCACATGAACCAAGCGGGGTGAGTCAGGGGAGGGAACACCCCATCACGGGGCACGGACTTGGTGCAACACACAAGACTTGCAGTTTTAGAAAAGTTCATTCTAGGTGCATCTCATCCCACTTTTTGCTTCTGTTTTCCATATGCAAGATACAGGGTAGCGACCTCTCCTTCCCCCCACCCTTTTATCTTGCCTTTCTGCGGCGGGGGCTGTTGCCCGCTCGGGGTTTGCAGAGAGCAGAACCAGAGCCCTCGCTCAGGCTGCACCCTGACAGTCCTGCTGGTTCGGCCGGGTGATGGCTGCGCCTTTCTTACTGCCCACCCCCCTCTGCTTTGTTAAATATGAGAAAATCAGAAAGGAAAAAAGAATCAGGCTGAATTCAGACCTGGCTTTATATGCTGCCTGTTCCTTTAAACGTGCTGGAAATTTATGCCAGAGGTGCATAAAGGATGGCGACTAAGCCCTTTCTTTCGAATAAAGCCAGAGTTCAGGAATTAGATGAAAACTTTCTTGCGCTGCCAATGAAAGAATAGGGACCCGAAAGGGAACGGGTGAGATGAAATGAGCCTGACAAGATGGCACACTGCACAGCTTTAAGGATCTGAGTGAAAACCTACTGGTGCTGCTCAAATGACAGAGAAATATTCAGAAAACTGCAAAGCAGCGAGAGTCTCTCATGCTTGAAAAGCGAGTGGGACCATTAGCTGGGACCATCCTTCATTAATGAAGGAAGGAGCGAGGAGAGCTTGTTGACCCCATACAGCTGGAGCCATAATAGATGGGGGTGCTCAGGATTCCCCGTGGGCTGGGGCTGGCTTCCCTCTTCCTTGGGTGCGGAATGGGGCCTGAGGAATATTTCATCAAAACCAGTGATTCTTTTCTTGTCTCATCTTGGCCTTTTTGGCAGGGAAACGGGAGCATTTCAGAGGAAGTTTAAAGATCGAACACAAAATACTTTTGAGTCTAAATTGCATCTCAAGAGAAATTTCTTATGGATGACCCAGTCTTCATTCCAATTAAGATGAATATTAAACCCACTCATCCTGTGGGTACCCGAAGGTGATTAGCTGTATTTTGAAGGCCTTGTGAGTCTGTGGATGGGTGGCAATTGAAATCAGCCAGCTGCACCAGAGTCACCGGACAAATTACCCCCACGAAGCCTTATAAATTGCTGGTGTTGATAGCTCTTTGGGGGCTGGGGCGGTTTGGAGCAGAGGCACCATCAATAACTAAGGAAGACTGATTAAAAAAGGAGGTGGATCAAATACCTCCTTTGCCAGGCTCTAGATAGTTCCTAAGTTGATTTTAAGTGGCATTGACCTATGATTATAGCATCAGTAGGGGACTCCGGTGCCTTAGTTCGGGAGACTCATGTCTTTGAATTAAGGCTTCGCTGTTTTGACTGTGGTTTTCTCCTGAGAATTGAATTTTGGAGGCCTTGCTGGGGTCAGAAGCAGATATTGTTTCCAGTACTTCTGAATGCAGTAAATATTTCCCCCATGAAATCTTTTGCTCTTCATCTCTATGTGTTAAAAAGATAATTCCTGCAGAACCTTAATTACACCGAATACTTGGTGTTCTTTGAAATTATAGGAAGACAGAAAAAATGTCAGGAGCAAAAATTGTGAAAAAGAAACGGTAATTGCAATATTTTATAGGTTCAATTTCAGCCAAAAAACAGCCTGATAGGGAAAAGCCGTTGTACTGCATCATAACTGCTATGATGTAGAGAGATGGTGATGCTCATTTCGGGGCATTTCAGAAGAAGAACAGAGAGGAAAGCGCAGTTCTTTGGGTTTTCATCCCTCAGTGCCAGCCACAACGCCCAGCACAGCAAGGGGTCCTGACCCTCTTGTTCATCCTGCAAGGGGTGTCACAACAGACACTCTGTTCTCGAGGGCGACAGCCACAAGTTCGGGCACACGCTGGGCCTGGGTTAGCCCTGATCTGCGCCTCCTGGGCAGTGAGGGTATGGGGCTGGTACCTCGTCAGGGTGTCTGGGTACCAAAGGAGTACCAAAAGGCATTTAGGTACCAAAGGGCATTTAGATATTCCTGTCTGTACAACGAGGCACCTAGGGTGTTCTCACATGGGGGCCTGTCCTAGCCTTTCCTTCAACCTTCCTCAGGGTTTACTACAATGAATTTCATGTGCAGGTACAATTTGCACATTTAACATGCTTTGAAAGTGGGATCTGGACAATTTGGGCTGGATTTGGCCATCATAGGAGTCGGAAAAAATAAACTCATGGATGTAAAATTGTATTTGAATGGTCACTGCAAGCTGCATGAGCTGGCTAATATTTTATGGGGGCAGAGCCCATCCACCTATGTTCTGCATGGCTAACGGAGACATTAAGTGAAAGAGTTCTATCAGTCATCGCAGTGCTCTTTTTTTCTGTATTACCTTGGGTTCATTTTCCCAGATGGGTATCTTTCCCTGCTGAAAGTGCCTGGTTCCTCTCTGGCACAAAGCAAACTGCTGAGGTCCTTGTCCTGCCCCGCCAGAGCCCGCAACAGCCTTCCCAGGGGTGGCATCGGGGCAGGATGAAGCCAACAGCGGTGCTTTGCCACCCTGTCCCCAGCTGGGCTCTGCAGGGCAGAGGTGGCTGGGGCATGGAGCAACGATTTCACGGCCTGTTGTGAAAAGGCATCGTGTGAACACGTGCTCCCATTTCTGAGTGTCGTGTACACTCCTGCTCTCCGAAACGAGCTGCGAGGCTGTTTTCCTGGTTTGCTGTTTGTACCACGCTACGAGAGCCCGGGCCCGTGCTCCCCAGCGCACACGCTGCAAACAGCCGGCAAAGCCGCCAGCTCCTGGGGAACCTGGGGGAAGTGCCTGGGAACCTGGCGTGTCTCCATTCGGTAGAGCAGCAGTGCAGAGGCTAGGGAGGAGAGTGCTTGGGGTTGAAATCTTGATCCTGGAGGGCCTTGTGTGTCCTCTCGAGCTCCGCACCTCTGCAGAGGAGGGATCGGGCGATGTAGCTGCTTCGCCATCCCAGATGGTTTGGAGCACTAATGCTGCCTGCTAAGCCGAGTTTGCTTTGACAACTGCTGTTACGTGTAATTAGGATATTACAGAGTAAACTCAGGAAATCATCTCTAAACGCCTCCGTGGACCTGAGGGATGTTGAAAATTGCCGATTTGTTGTAACATGAGGGTTAATGGATTCTGGTTGCTGCAGTTCCGTATTTAATCTTTACTCTGACTATCTGATTGATGTCAGTGGATTAGACAGAAGCTGGTTTCTGAAGGATGCTCTGAGGAGAGCGCAGCAGCCCTTGGGGGAAGGGGGTCGACCCGAGTCCCACTCCAAGGTGTGGGTGTCTGCAGGGAGGTTTCTCAAGGCACCGCTGGCATAACTTGAACTGGAGGGAATGAAAAATGAGTGTCTAAGTGCAGATTGTGCTTGGGGAACTTCCCTGGGCATGGTGTTTGTGCAAAGTATTTAAATATCCAGAGGGGGCTGCGCCTGGCTGGGGAGGGCAGGTGCCTGGCAGGAGGGGGGCAAGTGCTTTGATTTGGTTTGAAAAGGTGGAATTGCGTGTTGAGAGCAGCCCTGGACTGTGTGTGTCATCAAAGACCCTGTGAAATTAATAACACATGCAAATATATGCAAATTTGACTGCTTTTAAATATAGAGGTTTTAAACATGCTAATTAGATGCATATTAATTTTGTAAACAGACACATTGTCTGATCCATAGCAACGGGTTCTCCATTCTTTTGATATAGGGAAGGGTTTATGGGAGCTTTGCTGGTGAGGGTTCAGAGACAGGAGCTGAACGCAGTGTGGGACGTGGGAGCTTTGTGTCAGGACACGGCGGAGAAGGTGGGTGAGAAGTGACCAAACGGGAACATGAATGGTGAGGAATGATACAGTGCGGGAAAATTTCCCTTCGTTGCACCAGGGAGGTGCTGGTGAAATGCAACGGCAACAGAATTTCCCAAATTGTAAAAGAAAGCGCGTTTTAAAAATTCTTTTGTGCTGGAAGTCTACTAAATCTGTGGAACTGGCTGCCCTGATAGACAAAAGAGGCTTAGAGGTTTATGTTAATAAAGCAAACAAACAAGCACTTGGTATGGTAAAGCAGTACAAAGGATCTAACACCGGCTGGAGCTACGGGAAGGAAACAAATTTCCCTGTGGATAGCTCATCTCTAATGTTTGCCATGGGGTTTGCATCACCCCTACAGCCACTCTGGGATACGGGCCCAGAAGAGAACAGGGCTCGGGGGTCTGGCATTTGTGAGCAGCCCCACACCAGGCAACCAGCCTGCCCGTGGATAACGGACCAAAAGTAATCACAGTGGGTGGTTAGGTCCCTGCGATACACCAGGTAGCAAAGCACATCAGAGCGGGTGGCGGGGTCTTGTCGCGTGACAGCAGATGTGGCCTGATGGCAGCCGGGTGGGGTGGCGCCAGCGTCCCTTACCTGGCTATGACAAACAGCACGCAGCTGACCCCCAGGTAGGCGAGGAGGATGTACATCCAAATGTCAGGAGACAGGGGGTTGAGGAAGGAGAACACGCTGGGGTTGGTCCCGTTGGGCTTCCGGTACAAGATGCTGACCCCCAGCGTCATAAAGGGCTTGGAGAAGTCTATCGCCTTCTCCCGCACGTGGGTGATGGTGAGAGGAGCAACGGCCAGGTCAGCTTTCTGTGCACAGCAGAGACACGGAGGGAGAGGGAAAGAAGCATGAGAAACCGCGCCGTTTCCATCCCCTCAGAACCGCTCACACTACAGTATTGGCCCAAAAACCCCCCAAAGCGCCGCCCTGGGGTTCCCCCCTCCCTTTGCATATGAGGTGAGTCTGCGCCGTGCCTCTGCCAGAGTGTCCTTTGGCCATGCGTGTGGCTGCAAGCCCTGCTGGGGAATTGCTGCTGCTAATTAACGGTGGGCTTCACATCTCCTCATGCTGCAACTGCTGAGCTGCACGAGGAACTTAGCTGAGTGCGTTCTTCATCCTGGCTTCTTGGAGCAATGATTGTGTTTGCTATTTCTGTTATTTAATAATTCCTACGCTAGATTCGGTGAGCAGCCACATACAACTTCTTTCTGGTTCATTCAGGTTCCTAAAAACCCTGTAAGTCAGTACATGCACGGCTACCCCAGTGCCTTGCTGGGGGCTGCACATCTCTCTCCTGGTACCACTGATGTGGAGGACACGCAGGCGCACAAATCACGTGTGTGAAGTTGAGCAGTACTCCCCCCGCCACGTGCCTAGCGTACCCGCACGAGATTTATTTAACATCTGGTTCTGCACATTAAAATTCTGAATTAACCCTGAGTGATAATTACCTAGAGATATAGTGGATTTGTCATTACTTGCAAACTTTAAATCAGTACTAGCTGTCTCGCTGGGACATGCTTTACTCCAACAGAAACTGTTGGTTCCCTGATGAAACCGGTGAAGATCTCTGGCCTGTGTTGGGGAGGACGGTCAGAACAATCATCTCTGTTGACCTTTCTCTGATGGAAGTCAGTGGAATATTGTGAAATACAGGAATCTGGGCCTTCTTCTGTAAGAAAGTTTCTACATGACCTCTTAACCGTTACATACATGTGTGTGTGTATGAAAGGGTCTCCTCTCCAAAGAATGTAGCTTTAGAGGTCCTGAACGGAAGCGTTTCAGGAATTCTATACCAAGGGAAAAAACATGAAAGAATCTGTTCCCAATGATCCCTTTGGTGCCATCGGTGGTGATGCTGATGGAAACTGAAGGACAGGGTGTCTTAGGAGGGGACAGGGCTGGTCAAGTTCTGCATCTGAGGAGCAGAGTCAGCATCTCTGGATGCCCAGCAGCTTTGGGGCTCGGCTGCCCTCCCCACGCTTGAGAATTGTGGCTTATTGGTCTCCAAAGTCACAAGGCAGAAATGGAGAAACAAATGCAGCGTTTTAGCTCCTCCGTCACTTCTGTGTGGGTGTCCTGACTCAACAGGGAAAGCCGATGGAGACACTGAAGGATTTGGCTACGGATTTTTCTGAAGGAGGAAACAAATGAGCAGCTCCGTGGTCAGTGCTCACCGGGAACTGCCTGCAGGATCCTCGGCCACATTTGTCAAAACACTATCGCTGAATAACAGCTCAGAGTTTACCTCAGAAAATGAAGAGGGAAATCTGCATGGATGCCCAAGGATCAAACCGCTTTTAGCGCAGAAATAAAATTTTACGGTGTCATTTCAGCAGCTGCTGTGATGTGATGGCAGCCCCGCGTCCTTGGCAGCAAATGTCAGGCGCGGGCAGAGCGGCGCCTGTGTTGGGGGCCCAGCCTGGTGTGCTGGCCTCAGCTGTTAAAGGCAGCGCGGGGCTGCACTTCCATAGCCTTTTTACCAATGCAGATTTTTCTGAAGGTGGCCTCTAATTAAGGGTTTGCTGACTGAGAGGATCTAAATCAAAACCCACCAAGGGTGAAGCTTTCATTTGTCATGCTCTGACATTACAAACCGGGAAGTCAATTATCGGGCCCTGACTGCTTCCTTCCCTCAGCCCCAACTTTTATGCTGTTGCACAGTAAGATGGTTTTTATTAAAAATGAGGAATTATAGCAAGTGCCAGTGGCTTAAAGGCCCTTATCCAGCAAAACCACTTAAGCACACGCTTCTGTTTTACTGGAGCTTGCACGCCCTTCCAAGTCTTATGTATGTTCTTAAGTGTTCTGCTGAATTGAGGCCAAAAAGATGAATTTTGCCAAGGCAACTACGCACCAAATGCAGACATTTCTCTAACACACCTTGGAGGGTTCAGATCTCCTTATCCACCCAGTGTACAGCGTTTTCACCTGGGTGGAACTGATGTGAGTTCACCGGGCGTTCAGGGGACGAAGGATTGTATTCTCTGCAGAGATATTTGGCTGTTATCAGAAAACGTTAAGTCTTATCTTCAAGTTCTCAGTTATCGTAGGAATGTGACCGGCAGGACACAACAGCTCTTGCACAGCCATGGCCAGGGTGGCAATCCTGCAGCATCCCACCTCCACCGGAGGAAAGCTGCGTGTGATGGCCAGTCACGGCAGAGCCCACAAACACCATAAGCCCCAAGATAAATATTTATTCAAGAAAATAAGGTGTCTCTGTGCTTATTTTGCCAATCGGAGCTAGGTATTTACATAAACTAATTGTCTGTGTGTTGCCTAAGAGACAGGTAAATAGTGCATATTTTACTTATTTAGTTGTTATTCAGGTGTCTGTCTGGCAGCATCGACACTTTATCCCTCTGCCAGCGCTGAGGCTTAGTGCTTTTCTGCTCCTCTGCTCCCACCACCCTGCCTCAGGTCCCATCTCTGCTCCTGCCATGCCACGCTCCAGCACCCTGTCCCCATGCCGCATGCTGGCCCTGCTCCTGTCTGTCTCCATCGTTCCCTGCGGTGGAGCCAGCGCCCAAGCATCCTCGGGCACAGACATCCCAGAGCGCTGGGGAACGAGGCTCAGACGAGTCTGTCTTGCAGGGCTTGCAGAGAGAGGGGCTGCTGCTGCCTTAGCAGGTGGCCAAGCTCTGCTGAGCACCCTGCTGAGCACCTCATGCCCCTGGCCCTCCCCTTGGCTGGCCAGGGGTAGGAGGACACTCAGCGTGAGAAGTGATGCTTGGGGAGGGTGAGGTTGTGCCCGGCAGCATCCCAGGCAGACCCCAACCTGACACCAAGTGTAGGGATCGGTGTTCACTGACTCCTGCTCTAATGGCTGCTCACACAATTTCAGTCCTAATTTAGACACAGTTTCTGTCAATGAGTTTATTTCCTGTCGGGGTGAGTTAAGAACAGATGTCGGCAGGACAAAACTAGCTGTAAGCTGAAGAGGAGCAGTGAGGGCCATGTAGTCCTGTTGGGCCTCTTGTAATCAATCCTTTGGGAAGTTTCTTGGGGAGGGAACTACCATTAGTAGTTCCTAAGGGATGTCAAAGGCTGTAGGATCCCTGTGAGAAGGGCTGTGTTTTTACAGGCAAGCCCTATCCCACGGGTTCCTGGCAGGTGAGCGAGCCGGGGGAGGGAAAGCAGGTCCAGGGAGACCTGGAGAAGCAGAGACCTCAGGGTTCCCCGAGGTCTACACTTTGGTACACTCCCTTCACCTGGATCGCTGAATCTGATAAATATGAATCCAGCCCATTAACGATCCTGAGCACAGAAGGAGAAAGTGCAGCTAGCTGGTTGGCTTATTTCCATCTCCTCCCTAACGCTGAGTTCTGCACTGCATAAACAAGAGACACTTCAGCCAACAAAATTAGTTTTTTCCTATTCCTGGCCCAGTGGCTTCCAAATGAATCCCCAGCTCACGGCATCTGAAATAAACATCCACCGGTGCAGGCACGTTAATGGGAACGTGGCAATGTGGTGCAATATGTATTTCTGCCAGAATTTACTGTCAATAAATGCCCATTTATTGTGAAAGTGTTAAATCAACTGTCATAAATCGTCCCTAAGGATAGATATTACATCTTCTCTATAGTTACCGTTGGCAGGGATTTCCATTAGAAACCCTATTATTTTTCGTACCTTTTTTATTCCCACACGAAGTTGCAGATTGAATGGAAATTTGATATGCACTGTCTCCGCAGAAGACAAGTTTTATTTGTGAACAAGTTTGTGCAAAATGTCCAGAACAACTCATTCTGCAGGTTTTATGTGATTCTGCCCACAAACAATAGGGAAGATTTGCAGGCATTATTTTGCCAGCCAACCAGAATGTGGATGGGCTGCAAAGCGTGGTGTAGTTTTGTTTGTATCAATAATGATTTCTATGAATAAACACCCAGAACAGTTGGCTGCTGCTGAAAGGAGGAGATTTGGCGGTTGCCAGGTTCCCTGTTTATTATGGGTGGGAGACATGGGAGCTTCTCTGTGTCACCTGGGTACCCCAAACTTCCCCAGGGGCGAGAGCGAGTTCAGCTTTCATGGTCCATCTGCTTGAGGCTCCTCTGCGAGAGTGGCCAGGGAGAGTGACAGCAAACAACCAGCTGTTGGGAGGAAAGAGCCTAGTTCTCCAGGGAATGGGCTAAACTCCCCCAAACCAGGGATTTCTGTGATGGAAGACGAGCAGCAGATGAAAGGCAGGGGGGCAGGGCGTTTTGCAGCTAACCACACCAGGCTGTCTTCTCCAGACTGGCTAGGGGAGACCTGGAAGATGGGGTCATGCTGTGAGCTGCTCCCGCTGCTGTTGCTTTTCCTGTTTGTGCTTAAGGCCAAACGAGAAACAAAGCGATTTTACAAAGGATCACAGCCTAAGGCATTGCTGCCTGTGGCCAGGCATGCCTGGATCAGAGAGGATGGGGGCAGGAGGATGATGCGTGACTCCAAAAGAAGCCAGGAGGGCTGAGTGTGTAAACAGCCCATCCTCCCTCGCACGCTCTGTGATTCACACCTTTGTGTGATGGGCCTTGGAACACGGGCGTTACACACCAACCTGCGCTACCCTGCCCAGTACCGGCTCCCAGCTCCTCCCTGGCTGGATTTATCATCCCTGCAGCCGGCTGCCCTGCATGGTGGGCTGCCCCATGCTTTGCCCAGCTCCTTCTGATGGAATTTCAGCCTCGGATCAGGCTATTCCTGGTATATCTGCGGTTCCCATGGCCCCCAGGCCTTCCAAGTGATAACAATCACTATTTCAGCCTCTTGTTTCACCTCAGGAGCACCCTCTGCCCAGGGCACAAAATCCTACCTGCTTTATCACAAAATGCTACCTGCTTTACGCTCCCACCTGAATGATCCCAATTCTTTTATGAGAAGGAGACACTGAATGTGGAGGAAAGCCAGCCCAGATATCAAACTCACAGTGTGGGCAGCCCTGTTTTCATCACTACAACTTTGTTTGAATGCTGTCGCCAACACTTTTCCTACTAGGTGTGAAATAAGTTTGAACTTTCCCATTGCAGAGTGCCGATCAGTTGTTCCCTTCCCCACACGATCCGAAGACGCTTTGCTGCTGAGGAAGGGCCCCATCTGGTTGCAGTTTCACTTTTTAATGCTTTACATAAACACTGCTATAAAAAGCAATGACATGCAGATAAAGAAAATAATGGCTTCGTACGGGGTTTGGGCAATGGTTATAAATTGCTCGGAAGCCCGCACCCAGCCACGCCTGTTGGAAGGCAGAGCTCCCACCTGATGCCACAGTAAAACTTGGAAGAAGAGGGGATTTGGTCCTTTCCTGTCGCTGTGTGTTAATCTGATTTTTACATAGTTAGCCAACGCATACTTCAGTGCAGGTTGACCCTGAATTTTGTGTTACTTAATGAGGTTGTCCCCCACCCCTTCTTCTCAGTGTGTCTCTTCTAGGTGGCCACACACAGTTTTGGGGATGGCTGAAAGCCTCCTGAGAGCCCTCTAGCACCCTGCAGGACATTGGAAGTGCCCTGGTTGGGACTAAATGATGGTCTGGCTTCTATTCCCTCTATTTTATTTCCTGCTTTGGAGCATTTACTTCTTCCTTGCCCTGCACTACAGGTGCCGTGCGGTGAGAGCCACAAACTGCTCTGGCAGTGGTGCAGGATGGCAGGAGGCCATGTCCCGGGGCCGGGCTGTGTCACACACGTCACTCGGAGTGGCAGAGCACGAGCCTCTTCCGCTGGGACGCAGACTGTCACTTGTCTAACTTAAGGCTCTCGCTTAAGAGACTCTGAAATCTGTATTTTGAGCTGTGTGAAGTTTTCTGGAAACAAACCCACAAAGGCAGGTTTGCACAGCCTGTGGCATGTTCCCCCGTGAGACACAGCGTCCTGCTCCCCCAAGGGCTGTCTTTGCTTTCCCTTCCCACACTTCCCACTTCTCCAGAGTGAGCCACCTGAGAACTTTAATCACCACTCTCTTCGCAAAGTGACTAAGCATCACTTTGTCCCTATAAGGGACAATCATTATCATCTGCATTTTACAGATGGAGCAAGTATTGCACAAAAGCAACTTGTCCAATGTCATTTAGGGCAGACAAGCCTAAACTGGGAACTCCGCCTACATCCCTGAGCCCGGCTCCCCAGCCTCACCGCCAGACAATGCTCTGCTCACAGCGAAGCTCATTTACTGAAGTGACTCACCCAGCAAATACCGTCCTCTCACATGAACCGTTAGAGCATCACAGCTGCCACGTACGTGGCATTATTTTTGTCTCTTTTCTGCTTAGGCAATGTTTTAAAAATACAGCCAGGAACTTGAGAGGTGCTCCAAGGGCTGCACCACTTGAGCAGGCTGCTCAGGAGGAGAGCTCTAGGACTGCTCAGGCTGCTGCCTGTGCTGCGGAGACCATAGATTAATTTTGTCCTGATCTTTCCTTCCAGAGACCTTTTCTGGGATTCAGAAATTCATAAAAACACCAGCTCTTCTCACCTCCCTACCTGGGCTTCTGGGATCACAGGATGTGCCGGAGGCAAAATATCTAATTAGGAAACTGAGCAACCTCTAGCCACGAGTTGAGGTTTCAGACGAGGTGACTTTTTGGTGGCTGTGAGAGTAAAAGCTGCCACACCAGTTTCACTGGTGTTTAATGGGCTTTTAGAAGTGGCAGTGGAAGGAAAAGCACAGCTGCTCTGTTGCAGGGGGAGCTCTGTCCCAGGAGATTTTAGAAAAGAGCTGCGTTTATAAAAAAAATACTCTAAAGTGTCCCCTGCACACCTGCTCTTGCAGTCTGGCTGCATTCAGCAGGGCTGTCTGGGACGTTTCAGGGCCCTGAGCCACGCAGTGTCATGCCCTGGCCCATGTTTGCCAGGGGCAGAGCAGCAGCATCCTCAGGAGCTTGCTGTGGGTATCCAGAGCCAGCGAGCAGCAGGCTCCCATCCCACCCCATGCGGAAAGCCCCGGGAACAGCCTGGGCACAGCCGCCCCTCTGCAGCCCCGGCTGCCCGCGCCTCACTCACGTGGTCGATGAGCTCCTTGATCATGCCGTTCCACTGCCCCTTCTCATCCTGCGCCCCGTACTTCCCGTCCTCCACCAGCCGGATCTCGTAGGTGAAGCCCAGGATGATGGCCAGCTCCTTCAGGAGGTCGATGCAGTATCCCTCAAAGCGGTCATTCCCAAACAGGGCCGTGTCGGACTTACGGAACATGACAAAGGGCTCTTCCTGCACATGGGAAGACAAAGGGGGCCGGTAAGGCCAAGGGTCCCGGTAAGGCCGACTGCTGGCCCTGAGGGTCAGCCAGAGCCACGCGGCACAGGCTCTTCAGGCAGGGCTGGCACCGTGACATGTTGGGAATAAATTAACTTTGCACAGCACATCAGCTAATTAGCAACCTTGTTTACCCCACAAAATTTAATTTTCTCTCTTCTGAGCAGCCAACTGTTTCCTACTTGGTAGGTTTTCAGGGAGAAAAGTTACTATTTCATGCTCTGGAAATGAAGATACTTGAGAAATCATAAAAGGGGGAGGACAGGTTCAACCCCAGTCCCACACAGCAGAGATGCAGCCGACACACAGCGCAGTACCTGTTGTCGGTTGCAGTGGCAGCAAGCAAGAGGCTGGTGGGTCAAACAGAGGGTGAGGGACCCGTCCGTGGCTGGTGGCCAGCCAAAAATGTTCCCCAGGTCAGGTCACTTTCCCCTCTGCCGGCACTAGCTGATGGGACAAGGGGCCCTACTGCTGCCCGGAGAGCTTCTGCCGTCTGCTCTGGTTATGGCTGCCCTGGGGAGGTTGGGCAGCATCTTTAATCACAGCAGGCACCAGCACAACCAAAAAATAACTCATAAAGTGCTTTACAGCAGGATTTGCCCTACGGATCCCTCTTTAGCGGGGGCTGGCAGGGGAGTCAGCAAACACACGGCAAACTGCAGAGCCCTTCCGTGAGTACCAGGCTTGGGCAGCCACCAAGGACAAGGGACACTGGGCAGCCCGAGGGAGAGAACATGCAGGGGACAGATGGAAATGGCAAAAGCTGGAAGGTGGCAGGAAAAAGCTGGAAGGCAAGGGGAGGAGGAGATACCAACCACGGCTAACACATGGCTGGAGCTGGAGGTATCTGCAAGGCTGCTGTCCTTGCCGGCGGGGTGGCCGGGGGGCCGTTTGCCCCTGCCAGGCGAGCCCCTTTGCTGGACTCCCCACCGTATCGCTGGGGGATGGGGGCGTGAAGACTCGGGAGGGAAGGCCTGGAGTCCTGGTTAGAGTACTAGAGCCCGGTTTGGTGGAGAGCCCTGCCCCAGGTGGGTTCCCTAAGGGGCTTCAGCACCCAGAGCGTCGCTGTGCCCGCCTGGAGCCCTCGTCTCCCAGCACGACCTGCCCACCCTCACCTCTGCCGTGGGAGACCTCTGCCACCCCCAGGGCGGGCAGGAGGTGCCTGCTCAGCCTGAAAGCGGGACAGGGAGGGGACGAGCGCGCACGGAGCTCGGTTTGCAGAATTACACAGCGAAATGGGTAGCATCATGCCTGTAGAGTTTAGTTTGGCACATGTGGCTCGGTTAAATCCTGCTCTCCCTGGCCTCCTCCTCAGCTTGCTTCTCAGGAATTAGTGCTTTGTTTGTGAATCAGCTGAATCTATGGATCTTGATATAAATACACCAGCTCCAGAGCAGCCATAAAGCACTATTAATTTTGGGAAGCGCTGTAGGGATTACATACATATTTAACAGCCGAAGCACTGAACATTAGGACGCCACTCGCTTCAGTAATGTATCTTCAGGTCTCAAACATTTCCTAGGGGGTAATTCTGAACTCTGTGAACCACTTATTCACGGACTATTTCACAATTTATTACTGAAAATGGCCAGACATCCAATTCACAAGCTCTCTCGGTTTGCTAATCGATTTCTCAGTGAAGGTGCCCTCAATTTCATAACTTCACAGTTCCCATATTGCTTGGGGAGAGTGGCGCTGGCTGCTGGGGTAATATTTCTCTTCCAACAAGTCACTGCAATATGAGCAAAAGGGGAAAAAATAACCTTTCATGCTTTTTCTTTTAAAGGCTCCTCCTGTGGCTTTTCTACAATCATTTATACCAGTGCAAAAGTACAAAGGGGTGTTGCAAATGCAAATAAAATTCAGGGTTGTATATTCTTTTGTAGAATCCAGTATATGAAAATGCAGTTATTGCAGAATGTGAGTCTAAGCACATCTCCTCCTCCTGCGGGCAAGGGAGCTGCAGGACAGCTGGGGTTTGGAGGTAGATACCCCATGGCACGTGTGCAGGCCCAAGGAATGGCATGCAGAATGCAAGTCTAAGCACATCTCCTCCTGCGGGCAAGGGAGCTGCAGGACAGCTGGGGTTTGGAGGTAGATACCCCATGGCACGTGTGCAGGCCCAAGGAATGGCACAGCTAATAGGAACTGATGTCACCCTTTTACATTACGTAATTGGTACATGCTTGCGGAGTACAAGAGGAAAATGCTGCCCAAAAAAGCATGTCAAAGGCAGATGGCTGACAAGTCTCCTCCTGGCCCCATCAATTTAGATTATGCTGTGGTCTTGGAGGTACAGGGTTTGTCACACTGGACCAGACATTTGCACAACTCTGGCCATGTATCTAACCCTGACAAGATGGATCTTCTCTGGTTTTCCTCAGTCCTGGGACTCCACCGATATTCCAGTCCCGAACTGCTGCCTCGGCAGCCCTCCTCCAGCTCTGCTGCTGGCCCTCTAGCCTTATCCCTAGTGCTACCCCAGGAATTTTCCCTGGTGTGCCGCACACAGTAATAAAGAGAATGTGGGGGGGAAGAGAAGTAATTATATAACTTCTGGTGAGTTTTATCCAGCCACAATTTCCTTAGAGCTGATCCTGAGCTTCCACCTGGGAATGACGATGTGATGTGTTATTCATGTTACCCTGAAGATTTGCATTTCCCATGTACAGGCACTGGCAGCGCTTTAGGTTACCGTGCTAAAATGAGCTCGGCCTGGCATGGTGTGTCTCTCCTTTTAGCTTAAACGCTCCCTAAATTCTGCTTTCTGAACACACCAAGAACACTCAAATGCAACGGGGAGGGGAAAGCGAGCAAACTGTGTGTATCATGCCTGAGTGCACGCAGAGTGCTGCAAGGGTCTCAGCAGAAGCAGTGTTACAGTCTGATGCATGTTGAACTGTTAGAGTGCCTTTTGCTCCGTCATTTCTCTGCTCCTCCTGCGGTAAGCCCTGATGCGACAACACATTTCGGTAACCGTAGCCAGCGGGGAACCATTGCTGCCGCCACCCCTGGAAATGTGCGTGGCACGGGAACACTGCCCCGCACCGACTCCCCCGTGCACGGCCTTTTGCGTCTGGCGGGATGGCATGGTAGAAAACTTTCGGACTGGAAGGGAAGGAGCTTTTCCAGTCTGCCCTGCTTGCTGAGACATGAAATCAGTGTGTTACTGAGCACAGTCAGTGAGCGAAGCCTGTACCTGACACCTGGAGAGAGGGACTTTGATGACAATGTTTTGTGGGAACCAGTATTATGTGATAACTGGGAAGTTCATTAGAAGGGGTGGTTAATTTGCAAGGAAAGCTGCAGCTGCATCTGTATTTGGCTCACATTCTGCCTGCTCCACTCTGCTAAGCTCGTGTGGTAGAAGACCTTTGATTCCAACCCTTCTGCCCTGGACCGGGCGTTTCCTTTCTCTGTTCTCTGGGCACTTTCTTGGTCCTGTTCCTTCTGTGATACAACCCCGGTGCTCTGTCAGCTGCCCTTTTGGGAAGGCTGAGGGTTCCCACTGCTCTGGCCTGGGGAATGAATCCCGTGGCCGGCAGGACTTTGCCATCTCTACCTTTGTGCTCCCTGAAAATGGGGAACACAAAAGAGCCAGGACATTCCATAGGCGACACTGTTGTTCATGCCCAACTGTGGGTCGGCTGTCCAAGGGGGATTTTCCTTCCTGGTGACGTGCCATGAGCCAGTGCTGTGTAATACAGCCATATAGAAACCAATGCCACTAGTCATAATTCATTAGATAGTAAATAAAAATTCATTCTGATCTGATGCCTGCCGTCAAATCCAATAGCGGACGTGGGAACAAAATGCAGTGTGACAGTTGGAAGCGGAGCAGCCGTGGTTTGCTGGGTAAAGGCATTACTCTTAGCTAGTTTATCAAATGTGAACGTAAGAGGGGAAGGAAACACGATTCTCACTGCTGAGCCAGAGGCTCCGGCTGTTCTCAGCATTTTCTTCCCTAACAAGAACACTCCTACCCCAGGGCAGTGCCAGCTGCTGCCCAGGCGCTGGTGGTGAATGGGAGCTTTCCCGGAGCTCAGCACAGCCACCTCCCGCGCCCTCAGCACGTAGAGAGGGCAGGGACCGGGGACCTGGCCGGGCAGCTGCGGTGGAGGAGCTCAGCCGGCGTGAGTTCCTTGGGTTGGGAACGTGCGTGGCTCCAGGTGACCCATGCCGCGCGGTCTGCCACATGCGGGCTGGCAGCCGCAGGTCCCCTCTGCACATGGGCATTGCGGTGCCCTGCTGAGCCCAGCCCGCATGCCGGGGCTCTCCGTGCCCTTGCTCGGCTTTCCAGAGGGACTAGCAGACCTCTACTGGGACGCTGTGAATTTTCAGGGATATCGGATATCCCTGACATTGGTGGGTGGAGGAAAAAGTCGGGCTTGCAGTCTCCTACCAGGACAGTGGTGACAATCAGAGATCTGTTGCTCAGCGAGTCTGTGACATTGGGCCCTCGTCCCTTGGAAATTTCTGTGATGTTCAAGCCGTCAGAAGGGCTCCACGCTCCAACCTGGAACGAAGCAGACGGATGCATGAACACCTGGCTTTCGTTACTCACTTGCTCTTAGCATCCTACTGGCCTGGAAAACGAGGCTGGCTTCTTTCATCTACAGCAAACAGAAGCAAAGCTGAAATCACCATCTTGAATCACCAAAATGTTTGTATTAACCCCTCAGTTGCAGGTGTATACTGAGCAACCCTTCGCTGCTCTCTGATGCAGGTGCATGAAAGATGAGGATGGCCGGAATTTAGGGGCTGAGCAAACAATTTGCGATGATACTGCGTAGAGCAAACAATCAAACCGCACTGAAGAGTCAACTCTGGGCAAGGATAAAGCAGAACAAAAGAAAAAAAACCCCAACCACCAAAAATGAGGCCATTTTCTTTCTTTTTTATTTTCCGACCAATTTGTTTTGATGGAGAAAATGAAAACCAACGTGAGCAGCTCTGCAGACCCCTGGTAGGGACTGTTTCTGTCCTCTGCACCATGGCAAACTAGACGGAGCTTTCTAACAGGTCCCCTTGGAAGGGCCCTGGTCTCCCCTTCAGGGAACCCACCGCAACGGGAGGTCTCGGTCCTGGTAGCAAACCTGGAGGAGGGAACGGCTGCAGACTCGCTCGGGCACGGGCACACGCAGCTACACTCATCAATTCGAGGTGCTCTGTTTTTCTCAAACTGTCAATTTTAATAAATTACTCGACTTCGAACAAGTCTATTGACCCAGAAATAGCAAAGCATGTCCCTATTTAAGAGAAGTCATCTGGGCAACTCTAAGCCTGTTAACCTGATCTCCGCGGTGCAGGGGAGGCTTTAGAACAAACTTTGAAGGCAAGGCTGGCTAAAGGACTGTGACGGCGAGATAAAATGTCAGGAAAGCTGGAGGAATATGGGATTGCTGCCAAGAAATGGAGCAGGGAGGCCGTACAGCCAGCCTGAGAGTGAGAAAAACCAAAACCCCACGTGGAATTGGGAACAGAACGATCCATCTGTAGGGTCAAACTGAGAGACGGGACTCAGAGAGAAACCAAAGGCAGACAGCTCAAACCCACTTGGGAGCCAGGAACTTCCCATGTTTTATTTATTGCTGTTTTAAAGATTCTTCAACCTCTTCAGCAGTCCAAGGAGAGAACTTGGTTTTACTGCATCCTCAAAAAGAGACTTTGTAATGAGCAACGCTGCCTGGCAAAAAAATGTCATAAATTCTAGAAGAGTTTCCATGAACTTTGTGAAAGGCTCTAAATATTTCAGGTAAAACCTAAGCAATCTCCCATCCCTCCCTTCGATCACACGATGCTGCAATGTCAAAAGGTTGTTATTGTGCAGGGGAAGAGAGAAGGAAGTCTGAGGCCCCTGCCAGCAGCGCTGCAGGCTCAGTTGAGTGTGCCTTGCTGCATTTTCTTTAAGAAATTAACTACGTGGCACTTAAGACTGAATTAATCAGTTTAAAATATTAAAGAAGGAAAGAAAAAGGAAAAAAAAAGTGCATTAAGAGAACTGCGCAAGTCAGATAGTCAAACTATGTGTAATTAGGTTTAGTTAATACTCCCGTAATCCCTGGAACATCCAGGAGGTATAAGGATCAGGAGTTCAATCCTAAAGCTCAACAAACATAAGCTGTTATACATAATGCACAGTCCGGACGGGATTTGTTTGTAGTTGGGCGTTTTGTTATTGCAGATTAACTATTGACAGAAACCCAGCTTCAACAGAGATTTGACATCGATACTTTAAAACCCTCTAGGGCTGACAAGAAGCTTTCAAAAAAATAACAACGGGACTGTGAAATCTCTGAATTGCTGGAGATGGAAGTGGAACGGCACTGCGGAGTATGCAGCCAGGTTTGGCGGCTTCCTATGGGCTTCATGTGACACACCAGACAGCTACTCTCCCCTACACCTGGGGCTGGCAGATGCTGCGGTTGTACTTAAACATCCGGATTCACGTGGTGTCCCAACACTCGCCCATTTTACTCTGCCGACACAGCTCTCCAACAGTCCGTCGGTGCCACTGTGCTCCAAAAAGACGTGATGGGTTTTTTTCTAGTTTAGACTCTATAGCAGAATATTTCGTGAAGAAAAGAAGTCAAGCCGTGAGGAACATCCCCTGCTTGGTTCCTGTGAGAAGGTGGCGTCTTCTCCAGCTCCCCTCCTGCCTCCTCCCTGCACGGACTCGGCTGATCGCAGCCCAGACTGAAGGTCACGGGGTTTATTTGAAATGTTTTCTTTATTCTGTATTTGACACCAAAAAATACCCACTTGGAGAGCGCTGTGGTGACCTTGAGAATTTGTACACTGCTGCTGGGGTGTGAAAGCGTGGCAACAATTTATTTTAAAGCAAAGGAAGACCAAACTGTTAAAAAGGGGGATGGGGAAGTCAAGCTGTTTGGTCCCAGGGAGTTTCACTGCGCAGGATCCAGCCCCTCCAAACCAGGGGGGTTGGTCAAACTGCTGCCTCCCGCTGCCGGGGACCCCGTGTGATTAACGGTGGGGGAGGTCATCTGCGCGCCTCGGGTGCTGGCTGCACGGCTTAGTGAAAACCCTCTCTCTGCTCCGGGCTGGCGTTTCCTGCGGCACCAGAGCCTGTCTCCATGCCCAAAGGCTGCAGGACTCGGCGCTCATCTGAGCGGCGCCTAGGGCATGCCCAGCAGCGGGCTCTGCTCAAGAAAGGGATTTGCTGCCCATCAGCCGACTCTCTCCTGTACATCTGCAGGAGCAGGGGCTCAGAATCACGGACAGGAGGGGTCAGGCTCTGGGAGCCCTGGGTGGGCTGGCGTGCTGTTGGTTGGAGCCCAGCCTGGGCACTGCCCGCTGCTGTGCTGCCTGTCCCCTGGGCAGTGCTGTCTTCACTTAGGCCACTCGCTGCTCCCTTTTGTCTCAAACCAACTGATCTCACCTTGAAACCCATGTCCCAGGAGCTTTAATGCTTTGCAGATTGCCTTTTGGAGGGGTTCTAAGTAACTGAAGCAAAGGAAGTGAACACCATCACCTGCGAGTCAGGTTTGCACATCAGCGTTGTATTCCTGTGCCCAAAGATTTGCACCAGGACTTGGGGCTGCAGCCCTTGTGCCCTGTGACATCTGGGTCAGCAGGCAAACACAGCCCCTGAACACGACCCCGCTGGCCAGCCAGGCAAAACCACCTCTCCCTTTTTTCCTATTGTCCCTTAGACAACACAGAGAAGTCATAAACGAGAATACAGGCTGCATCCTTCTGCAGAGTCTGGGCTGTAGGAGCTGGGGCCATTTCCCATTGTGGGAAATCACACCCCAACGGTGCTTCCATGAGCTGTTGCCTCTTGGGAGGGGGAGAAGATCAACATTTTGTAAGCAAGCCCAGCGAGATGGGGGTGGGACAGGCTGTATTCCATCCCCCCTTGGCATGGGCAGGGAGAGGTTAACGGCTGCTCAGAAAGTTTCTTCTGCTTCCACTCTCCCACAAAGTGCCACAAGCACTCCTGCAGCTGCTGTGATCCCACACATGGTGCTGCGGGGCTAGTGAGTCACGGCTGAGGCATGGAAAAGGATCTGAGAAATCCCACAAAGTAAATACCCTTTTATGTAAAAAACAGAAAACACAGAGACAATACACGCACCAGCTATTTCTTCGGTTGCCCGAGTGTCAGAGTTAGACTAAGCTATCTGCAGATAAGTCAAAGCCTGCCTACCTTTTCGAGACCGTCTTCTTTGAGGCTGATGATATCCAAATCAAAATCCGTCCGTAAACCACTAGTTTTATTAAAGACAATTCGTCCCGTTAATCCTTCCCATTGGGCCTGTGGAAGGGAGAAAAAGTAGCAGGGCTGTTACTTGGTATCATAAATAATCTTTTGTCCTCCACTGTATGCTCTTTTAATTAGTCCTTATACTGGTTCTTTCTCCCCAAAGAGCATGATTAATTAATAATCCCCTCCGTCAGTGTTCAGGCTGCAGCCAGAGCTGGGGATTTTCTTAACTCTCTTGCAGCCCTTGCTACAATTTTTGTTCGCACCTTTGTGTTCACCAGCTGTTGCAGGACGTGATGAGTCAGTAGAAAACCCCTTGCATTTATCATGGCATCCTTGGGTGCTGCGCTTATCCTTGCGGTACTGATAAATGGGAGGGAGCCTGGGCTTGGGACAGCTCCAGCCAAGTGCATAAATAACCCGTTTTTTTTGCACAAACATGCTGATGCTTCTAAGGCGTGTGGAAGCTGAAGTGTCCTGAACACCTCCCTCCCTTCTTTCAGATGAAAGTGGAGCAGAAGATGCCAACAGCTTGTCCCCCCTAGCAGGCTCTGATGGTTTGAGACAGGCCAGGGGATCTGGTGGGTGCCTGCCGTGTCTGTACCCCCGCTTCAGTTTTTGGCAGTATAAGCCTGGGGCAGGTGCCCCGAGGGGGCTGGGGAACCTCCCTTCCCAGGAATACTCGGTGCTTGACTGGACGAGCCCTGCACAACCTGGTCTGACTTGGGAGCTGGTTCTGCTCTGAGCAGGAGCTGGGGGTATAGATGTCCGGGTTAGTTTCGGCTAAGATGCTGCTCTGATGCTGCTCGTCCCTACCGTGCGCTTAGCAGCACCACCGGAGTTAGTCTCTGATTAGGAGGCGAGAGAGCTGCAGGTTCCGGACACCAGCAGTGCTGGCGGAGGGCGGTGCCTGCTCTGCCCAGGGACAGTGCTAGGATGTGCCGCACGCAGCCGTCCCAAGGAGGATGTTCCCAAAAGAGTGCCAGGCTGCTGACATGGTTTACTGCTTTGCGGACGCATCTCAGCAGCGCAGAGCTGGGACTCGGGCTCTCTCCCCTGAGCAGTTCCGCCCGTGCACGCTCCTCGCTGATGAATGTGTTTCCTTTATGGGCGGGGGAGCTTGAAATAGCCCAGCGTGATAAAGGTGGCATAATGTATTCCCAGGGGGGAATGACTGGCACGTTTCCCATAAATACGCTTCTCTGGCTCTTCCTCGTTAGTTCCCAAGGAGTAATGACAGCCTCCTCCCAGCCTAGCCACCCGTGAGTTCTGGGGAAGGCTGTGCTCACCAGGCTCGTTTTGGCATGCGGGTGGTTTGCCGGTGGGACGCGCAGCCTGCAGAGTCCCCGGGGAAACGCGGAGCGTTCAACAGCCAGATGCTGAGCCCTCCACCTCCTGCGGGGCCAGACGGGTACACAGCATCACCGCGGGCCCTGATGGGCTCTGATCCTACTTTGTCAGCCCTGTCTCCACAGCTTCAACAGCCAGATGCTGAGCCCTGCACCTCCTCTGGGGCCAGACGGGTGCACAGCATCACCGCGGGCCCCGACGGGCTCTGATGCTACTTTGTCAGCCCTGTCTCCACA